GGGAACTTCCCTCGTGCCGGACTTCACGCGAGAAGACCGTCCGTGTCGGCCTGGTCGAGTCGCGAGGGAACTTCCCTCGTGTGTGACTTTGCAAGGCACACCGCTAGTGACGGACTGTGTGCATGAACACCGTTCGTGACGACCCCGTTCGAGGGAACTTCCCTCTTGGTCAGCTAAGACAGAAAACCTCCCTTGTACCCGGTCAAAGGAGAGAATTTCCCTCCTATTGTGGCTGGCTAAAACAGAAAATATAACCCGTACCTGGCCATACGAGGGAACTTCCCTCGCTAACCCCAGAAATCGAAGCCAATATGATGGTCTTTCTTAACTCCATGCTGTCTCTGATTTTTGCTATCACAGTCTGAAAAGCTTCACCTTCGAGATTTTCTTGTCTTAAGATTTCAAAATTCAAGACAGAAAAAGGGGAATAAATTGGATTTTCCCCTTTAGATTTGGATTGTGTTAATGGATTTGGACATAGTCTATACTCTATACTATAGTGACGACGGCGCGATACGGACAAAATACAACGCCGATTGTGTGTAAACTGAAGTAGTGTCAATGATGAAGAGGACAAAGACCAACCTGCTCAAGAACAAGAAAGTATGCCCGTGTCGTCTTGATATGAATTGTATCCAAGTTGTATGTTTCAAAGTGTACTGTCTGCATGTTGACTATGCGACGTGCAAGAGTAGTATAAAAGTGATGTGTAGTTCACTTGTATTTTTATTCATCAATCTTATTCGAAGCATATTTGCAAACTCTTCTATTTTCAAGTATTTTTAAGTAGAACTTTACAAATTAGTCCCTCCTTCACCATTTTCAAAAATCATACTAAAGTAGCTTTCATAAGTAACCCAATACATTCCTAATTTTTGTTTATGTTTCATCGTTTACTTCTTTCATTACAACTTTTCATTATTGTAGATAGGAAAGAGGAGTCAAAAGCAGAAAAGAACAGAGCCAAGCACGAGCTCAAGGTGTTAAAAATGCAACAGGAGCACGAGCTCAAAATGATGGGACATTTCATGAATGTAATGGAAAGTTTGCTTGGCAACATGCAAAGGTACCATGCTCCGACCCTTCAGTAACGAAGTGCCGGGTGATTTGTTCTGTTTCACTCATATCTGGTAATGTTTCTAAGGCTGTCAAGGCCCTGGCTGTCCCAAAGGGTTCAGTCACCTTACACGACTTCCGCAGGTGGCTACACTCTCGCCTTCCGAGAGAGCTACGTCACACACAGAGGACAGTAATCCACCGCAACACTAGCACCTTTCACCGGAGCACCGCCTACTGGCCAGGTCACAGCTATCTGCGTAGCTTTGCGGATCTCTACGGTGACAAGATGCCAGACAAGGAGGTTATCAACCTACCGTCATCAATGGCGAAGGACGAGTCTGGAGGGTACGATCTACAAGCCACTGACAAAGACTACTGTCCTGACCATGTGGAGGGACGAGTTCCCTGGCTTAACCTGATGCCAGAGTGCAGGAGGTTGCGAGGCCTGTTTAACATCAGAGACTGGCAGAGGCCCCATATTTCTAACATATAAAGGGTCACTTTCAGCTAGGGCAGTTCAGATTTAGGCTCCAAGGAGGCCCCATATTTCGTACAAAGGGTCACTCTCAGCGAGGGCAGTTCAGATTTAGGCTGAACAAGAATAACAAGGATGTTGTGGATATGTTTTATCGTAAGGGGCAAGGGAGGGAATGGAAGAAGTCGAAATTGTAGTCTATGAAATATCACGTAATCCGCTAAGAAGACTTGACAAAACAAGTTTTAACTCATTCCATTTAAACTTTAAAAGTGT